GTAATCTCATATCAAGATTGCTGCCCTGTGCTTGCAAGAGTGCAGCCACGCTTGCTCTGCCATCACTGAACAAACAGTTTTTTCAAAGCACACTGACATTTGTTGTTCCTGCAGGTGTTAGTCCATCATTTCTTCGGCATAATTCTACCCGTCAGTGTCTTGGGCACTGAAATATTATCAGAACGGGGTTTTGGCACCAAACTTTTTCTCTGGGCTTTCGTATGCATTTTTGTGTAATTGGACAGGAGTGAATTGTCCCAGTGCTCATGCACGAACTCTTATAATGTGCAATGGGAAATGGTCAAGGGCTGTGTAAAATGGATGCATACTGCTGATACATTGAGGGGAAGTTCTTTTGCTCGTGGAAATTTGGGGGGAGATCTGGGAGTCAGTGTGTCAAAAAATGCAGGATCCAATACAATTTGTTCATGAGATGGATGGGGAAGTGGCTAAATACTGTAATTTTCAATCCCTTTTAAATTTTAAGCTTATGTATTTGTTCTCTACTTTGATCTTCCACAGCACCCACTTGTCTGCAGACGAAGCTGATAACAATCATTTCAAGCTCTTTCCTAGCCTTCTTTCTTATTCTGCAGTCCTGAATGAAATTCAACCTTATTCTCCATAAATAACCTTTCTCATTCCCCAGCTGTCTCCTAGAGCTAGTTCTCTTCTGACCTCTTGCTTACTGACTCTGTACTGACCTTGCACTTCCCCCACATCCCTAATCTGCCAGCATCTACGCTCCTATTCTTCCTCTGCTCTTTTGCACTGTTTCTTTTTTTTTTTTGAAGAATAGGGCCCACCATTTCCTGAGCTGCACTTCAGCAAATAAGCTTGAACAAGCCCCTTTATCCACAGAGCTCATATAGCGTGGGGACAAATGACTACCATTGGCAATGATTTTGATGTCTTCATCCCTTCTCCCTGATTCTAGGCGGTGGGTAAATCTCTACTTTCAGCTGTATTTTTCTGTTGGCAATAAAAACTAGCACCAATGTTTTCAAATTGAAGAGAAACAAGCCAATGCCTGTGCCAGTGTCATGTTCAAATAGAAATTTTTGTCTTTAGCTGGATTTTCATCAGTGTAGCAATGACTCTAGTGATTTCTCAGTGGCTTTTATTAGACTACTAGGGGATCATTCAGGCATTTTGTGCTCACCTCGTCCTCCCATTTGAGGCAGTGTGGATTCTCATCTGAAAAACCTGCAAATGGAGGCTTATTTTTTTTTGTTTGAAGTTAGGCTGTAGATTGAAATAATCGGAAATAATCTGCCTAGGGTTAGTGTGGAAAAACTTTTGAAAAAGGACAAAGAGGTCATGCCTGTCATATCTGTGTGTACGCTTTGTTGTTTTGTCATGCTATTATTATATAACATTGAACGAAGCATTTCCCGCCCCCTCCCCCCCCAGTATTTGTTTGTCATTTGGGTAAACTGAAGTATTGGTTGAATGGGAATTTGTTTGCCTCCAAAATGGAAAGCAGAGATGTTTTTAATATTGATATTTTTTGAAATGACACCACGAAATCTACATTTCATCTTTGAGTAGCTGCAAATCAAACCCATTTATTTTACAAAGTAGAAAGCTTAACTCTAGGTGTCAGCACTGCAAACCGAATGTGGAGCTCTGAAAATGAAGTTTTGCTGTCTCTGACTCCTCCAGTGCCACCAGAAATAAAGTGCAATAGCAGTTTTGCTGACAGATCCATTAAGGCTGAAGAGGAGAGCCCACACTTGTGGTTAATGGCACAAGTAGGAATTGCAGCATTCTCTTCTTACACAGCCTCTTTCTAGCTGCACTTAAGTGTGTTCTTATTAATGGGATCTAGTAAATAATGTTTAACATAAAAGAAAGAATAAGGACAAGATCCCTCTCCAAACAGTGCCCACTGTTCAAAGCAGGTATGTTAAGCCTTTCCCTTCATTTGTTGTTAAGTGCTTATCTTAAGTGGGCATGCAAAGTGGTGAGGGAGCACCGGAAGCCCCTGTCTTTTTCTGGTTCTAACAGGCTGTATAGATCAGCTAAATTAATGGGGTGGATGAAGTTTGTGTGACTATTGCTTATACTTGAAACTGCACAGTAGCAGAGAGGTGGGGGAAGGAAAGACTTGATTTTCCAGCCTTTAGCCCTAGCAATTACGAGAAGTAAATAAAAGCATTTTGACAGTGCAAGTGCTGTGGTTATCCTGAAAAACCACATTTCTCAAAAGCACTGACTTTTGGCTTTGCATCTCCCAACCTTATAAGGTGCTCTGCTCTGCGTCAAGTGATGCTGTTATGTATATGAATGAAGAGCTTCTTTTTGCCATTTTTGCTGTCGTAGTCATCACCTGTCTGCACGTTTTGCTTTTAATTACTACCTGATGTCATTTGTCACGTAGCTGAGGTACTGTTCAAAGGCTGACTGTTCTGAATGCACAGAAGGGCTCGTGCTGAATTGGCTTCTTCTGAAACAGTGTGATTCTGACAGGGGAGCACAGAAGCATTCATGATACGACTCTGGAGTAATTTAAATAGTTTCTCTTGTGATACATCACTTTCTCACATCAGATGCTGGAGCTTATTGACAAAAGTCATGTCTCTGATATTTGATTTTATCCGTGCTCCTAAATCTAAAGTTTGATCTGGCCTTCCCTAACCCGCTCTTGCCTCTGAGCGGTTCCGGGCAGTACCTCGGAGAAGCACCTCTGCGAGTCATCGAGAGTAAAGATTGGCAGAGCTACAAGTGACAGAGTGAGGAAAGTGAAAGGCACGTGTAGAACACGAACAGGGCTCTTACAAGCCCATGGGGTTGTGTGTGGTCTGTGGTAGAGTAGGGTGTCGTACCTCTGTTGTCGAACCTGAGCTGCACTTGAGCTGGTACTTCTGAAACACGTATTGTCTGTAGCAGTAACGTGTCTTGCTCTCTGTAGCAGTAATGTGTCTTGCACTGGGCATGGCGTTTTAAAGGGCTTTAAATACTCTTTCTTGAAGTATGTACAGACATCTAGTCTCGCAACACATCTATATGATACGGAAGTATAGTTACTTCCACATGATATCGAAACAGAATAAGTTTATTTTACATACATATTGCAGAAAAAGTCTGTCTGTGGTTCATTTTCCAAGCCCTAGGGTCTGGCTATACACATATAGCACCATCTTCCCTTTTCACAGTCTTTGCTTTCAAAAACATTTTTGAGGAAATTGGCAGGGCCAGAGCTGAAGAGGAAGATGATGGGAGACAGCAACAACAGAGTCCGGGCTCTGGCTGTTTTCCGGTTCCTGAAGAACGGAACCCAGTGTCCTTGCAGGACGGCAACGCGCTGGCTTTCCTAGGCTGGCTGGGGTTACCCTCCGTACTGAGCATCTGCAGGGCGCCCGAGCTTCTGGTCCTGACGAACGGCGCTGGGTTAAGAATTCTGCTGGTGCACGTTGCTGTTGTTGGCTTCTTGTGGTGTGGATTTTTTTTTTTTTTTTTAGTAAGAAGCTAACCGGACCTGAGATGGTTGTAGCCAACGTAGAAGCGCCCCCGGCTCGGTGTGCCGCGGCCGGAGGGCCCCAGCTCTGCCCTCTGCCCGGCGGGACGGGACGGGACG